AATGGCAGCATTTGCAAGATTATTCTTCCCACTCAAGTTTGCTGGCTGTCAAGGAAAAAAGTGGTGACAAGTTTCTGATATGGAGGATGAGATTTTTAAAAATTCTTCATAATGCCAACAATATCAAAAAGTAATTCTATGTTTTCTAGAGGCCTGCTTAAGTGGAGTACAGCAGAAATATATCTAGAATTTTAAATAGCATGAAACTACTACTTCAGGGCCAAAATACCCTGATTTTTAATGCTAAGAATAAGATATCACATTTTTCAAAGTCACCAAGCTATGTTGCAAACAGCTCAATTGCTAGGATGTGATTCCTTCCCAAAACCTGATGGTTTTCTTCACTCATCAGAGCAAGACTGATTACACTATTGTGTGTATAAATAACACAACTAAATGTTAAAATAAAATATGGGATAATACTTTACAGATACTGAAGAAGTAAAAAAAAATAAGAATCCATTTGTTCCTATCTTCCAAACAGTCAGGCTGGTTGAAACATTCACCCCTATAATTGTTTAATATAATACGCTTGTCTATCAAGCAACTGAAAGAGCACAAGATATAATCTTCAGGGAGAAATCTTCCGATAATTTCTCAGTCTGTGTTTGACCTTGCTATTCCAAAACAGAGTCAGCAAACACAAGTTGCAAGTCCTGACAATCTACAATTGTGGCATAAAATTTCCTAATTTAGTAGACATATGGGTAAAAAAATCAAAGTGTCTAGGTCTAACCTACATCTCAAACTATGCATCATCAAATTAAATACAAGTACTTTGTAAGAAGCTGCAAAAATAAAAAAAAAATATCCTCAATGACAATAAAAACATTAATTTCTAAAATACTGTTTTACTGGGGGCCAGGCACAATGGCTCATGACTGTAATCCCACAACTTTTGAGAGGCCGAGGCAGGCGATCACTTGAGGTCAGGAGTTTGAGACAAGCCTGGCCAACATGGTAAAACCCTGTCTCTACTAAAACAAAAATTAGCCAGGCGTGGTAGTGCACACCTGTAGTCCTAGCTACTCAGGAGGCTGAGGCACGAGAATCACCTGAATGCAGGAGGCAGAGGTTGCAGTGAGCCGAGATTGTGCCACACTGCACTCCAGCCTGGGTGACAGACTATCTAAAGATGCTAAGGCCTGAATTTCAATTTCTAGCCCAGCCTTCTTCTCTGAGCTCCAGACTTACCTACCTAGCCAACTGCCTTCCAAACTTTACCACTTGATGTCTCATGGGCACATTAAACATAGTGGGTCCAAAACCAAACTCTTTTTATCTTCCATACAGCTTTCCCTTTTCCAAGCTCAGTGAAAACATCTTATTCCTGGCTGCATGTGCCAGAAAGCTAAGTCATCACCTAAGATGCGGCTTGAATTGATCTCTCTCTCCTCCCACTACTACCCACATAGTCCAAGTCACCTTCATCTCTGCCCTGGACTACACTGTGACCTCCTAATTAGTCTTCCTACAGCCCCTTATGCCTCTTAGCATTAGTTTTCTATTGCTGCTAGAAGAAATTACCACAAACACAGTGGCTTAAATACAACATTAATTTTTTGTTTACATTTCTGTAGAAATCTTACATGGATCTCAATGGGCTAAAATCAAGGTGAGTTTGATTCCCTTCTGCAGGTTGTAGGAGAGAATCTATTTCCATGGTTTTTCAAGCTTCTAGAAGCTACCCACATACCTTGGATTGTGACCTCCTTCCTTCATCTCCAAAGCTAGCCATGTTGTCGCTCTTTGACCATGTCTTTTGTCCCTATGTTCTACTTTTAAGGACCCTTGTGATTACGTTGCCCCCCCCCCCCCCCGGATAATCCAAGGTAATCTCTTTATCTTAAGGTCAGCCGATTAGCTAATTACCTCCCCTTTGCCATGTAACTTCACATACTCACAGATTCTGGGAATTAGGATGTGGGTATCTTTGGGAGGCCATTATTATGTCAACCATATTTTCTAATATATAAACTCATTTTCCACACAGCAGCCAGAGCAATCTTTTTAAAAACATAAATATATTCATGACACTCCCTTCAATGTGTTACCACTCCTCTAAGGATAAGGTTCAAAATCCTAAACACGTGCCATAAATCCATGCATGGCCTGGTGCCTACCTCCTGGGCTTGTCCTCTGGCTCACTGTGTCCCAGCCACATAGGCTTCTCTCTTTTTCTCAAGCACCAAGCTCCTTTCTGCCTCAGGATCTTTGCTCACACTATCCCTGCTGTCTGAACAGCCCTCCCCACCTTCTAGCAAACCTTTCCCTGGTTGACACCTGCTTAACCCTTCAGATCTCCATAAAAGTTACTTTCACAGGGTGGCCCTTCCTGACTGCCCAGTCTAGTATTAGCTCCCCCTACACTGTCATAGTACTCTTTTTCCTTCATATCTTTTTATCACAATTTGAATTAAATGTTATTTGCGTAATTATTTGTTTAATGTCTGCCTGCCTGCACCAGACTATAACCTCATAAAGGCTGGGGCCTAGTCTGTTCTGTTCAGCACGGTAAACCTTGGGAATTCACACCAATTAGCTTATAATATGTGCTCAATAAATAAGTGAGTGCCATTACATGTTACTCTATGACCAGCAGGCAGGTGGAATATATGCAGTGTGGATATGCTGGACAAAGGGATGATTTGTGGCCCCAGGCAGGACTGAGCACAATGGTGTGGGACTTTATCACACTACAGAGTACAGTATGAAACTTACTAGTTATTAATTTTTCATTTCTGGAATTTTCCATTTCATATTTTCAGACAGCAGCTGACTTCTGGTAACTGAAGTTGTGGAACGTGAAACCCGGAAAGCGAAACTAAAAGAAACAAATTACTACAGAAACCCACATGTAGAATGCTGATTTTTAAAACCAAACTGTGCTTATTGATAGCATTCATGTGCTCATAGGAAGAAAAACAGCATTTGTAGTAACAAAATACAGTAGCAATAAGATAGATATGTCTTATTTGGGTGGCAAAAGAAGAATGTGGGATGATCTATGGAGGATTCCCCACTTTTAACAAAAGTCAGCCTGCTCTGCTAAAATCTAGCAAAATCACACAGGTGATTTCAAAGAAACTCATTTCTTAAAAAGAAATGAGATGATGATATAACAAACCAAGTAAATAAAACATTCATTAATGCCTTTATAATTCTCACAAACATACAAATAATCCAACAGCAAATTCTGACATATGTGTGATGAGGAGGGAAAATTCACAGTAGGAGCAAAGAACTCTCTCTAGTCCATGCTGGTGCAACCACCATCATGAATTCAACAAATATTTATTGAGTGCCTACTATGTGCCAGGCCCTGTTCTCTAGTTGAAGATACTATAGGAAAAATAACAGAGAAAAATAGCTGTCCATATAGAGTTTACAATATAGTGAAAGATTTAAAACCTTAAGTTTGACATACACTTGGGGGGCTAAAGGGTTATGGAAAAATTAAGAAAAAAAGGACTGATAACAAAAATAGAGTTTATATCTACATAAAGATATATACAGATATAAATACAAAATGAAGATGGTTAATGACAGATAGTGAAACTGAATATATAAGCAGAGAGCACATTCTCATTATTCTAAATTATTTTTGCTAAAATCAAATACAAGCAATTAATTTCCTCTAAGGCAGCCTAATGAGAGTATTATATGTATGAATCAAAAGAAAAACCACTAAGATGATTATTGTTATATGATGCACAAGAAGGAACCATAATATGCAACTACCAAATCCAGACCTACAGACTAGTTTCTACTGGATAATATTAACTTAAAAACATAGCGAAATTTACCAATAAACTTTCTAACTTATCTGAAAATACACTCCAGAAATGACAGGTGAAGACTACTGATTATAGGAAGGAAATTATTTCAAATATGAAATTAGGGGTCATTAAAATAAATTTACACAGTTATCTCAGTACTGGGGTAGTTCTGTATGTTTCTTATACAATTATGCACTGCATAACAACTTTTAATCAATTATGGACCGCATATACGACAATGGTCCCAAGGATTATAATACTGTATTTTTACTGTACCTTTTCTATGTTTAGATACATAAACACTTTCCATTGTGTTATAAATGCCTACAGTATTTAGTACAATAATATGCTGTACAGATTTCTAGGTTAAGAACAATAGGCGATTCCATATAGCCTTAGGTGTGCAGTAGGTTTCCGAAAGTACACTCTATGATGTTCACACAATGTAATAAATCACCTAACAAGGAATTTCTCAGAACGTATCCCCGTTGTTAAGAGGCACACGACTGCATTTAGTCCAACAACTTGCTAAAATGTGATTCTGCCATTTTCCCGGTCAACTCCTAGGTTGTAAATATCGTACATCTGCCATTTTACTAGGCAGTTTCAACCATAACAACAGATCAATACTCTTGGCAAATAGATCCCACTCTGAGGGTTGTGTTGGGGCTCAGAAAATGCTATCCGAAGTATCACACTTTGGCATGCTGAGTACTTCGAACTAAAAGAGATTGGAAGGCCTCAGAAGCAGCCTCGGTAAAGTCTCCCTCTGATCTTCTCTTGCCCTTCTGTCTCCTGCCAATCTTTCGTCCCTCAAGTGAGTCACTGAAACCAGAATTCCTCTTCCCCAAAGTGAGTGAGAGAAAACTACAATCCCTCTCCTACAAAGCAAGCCATAAAAACTAGTACTGTAATCTTTCCCTGCCATTCTCTGTAGGAACTGGCCATAAAGAAATTCTCTAACCTACCTTGCCTTATCATTCCACATGGGTCCTTCCTCCTCCGTAGGAGGAATGATACAGAGAGGCCAAGAAGAATCTGAACAAACAGACCTTGCTAGGTTTCCTCCCTCAGTTTATTAACATTAGAGCATATCCTTTGTCCAATCACATTTTTACACAGCTGTCTATTCTTCGTGGGTCCTACGCATAAAAATAGAGATTTCCCTGGTCTCTGACGCCCGATGGCGCAAAACTTTGATTAGATTTGCTATGCTTTTACCTTGTTAACCTATCTTCTGTTTTTACCAGTGGTGGCTGTCATCCTTATAATGGGTGGGTGGTGAGGAAAGGTATTACACTTTTCCGACCCTACGTTGCACTTTAAATAACTAAATGTGTAAAAGCAAAGCAGATACATGAAGTCATAATAAAAATACCAGAGTCAACCAAGGAAGAAGGCGGACTTGCAGTTGATAGGTTCCAGAACATCACTTTGTCCACTGAACGAAAACATCTAAGAACTTCGCCGTCTAGAGTTAGTAGAGTCCATCCTCCAAGTTTTAAACGGCTATCCACCAAGAGGGGAACAGGAGAACTGACGGCTCCTCTTAGGTCCATTCAAGACAAGGGGGTCGAATTCCCTTGCTTTAAACGGGTGGGACTGGCAGGTAAACCTCAGGCAAATGACTGACAACAGGTTCCAAGGCCAGTTACTCCAATTAGTTTTTAAAAAACGGTGAGTGGACTCGGGAGGCTGAGGCAATGGAATTGCTAGAACCCGGGAGACGGAGGTTGCGGTGAGCCGAGATTGCGCCACTGCACTCCAGCCTGGGCGACAGGGCGAGACTCCGTCTCAAAAACAACAACAACAAAAAACGGTGAAGGGATGAAGGCTGAAACACCACAGGAAATAAAATAAACACTTGTAACAAGAAAACAGTAAAGCACTGGAGAATTCCACTGCTTAAAAAGGTACAGCCTGCACAGGCCAAAAGGCCCGGGAACTCTGGTGGCGGAACTCAACACCCCGACTGAAGCCGGCGCGGGAAGGCAGTTCCGGTAGCCCCCTCCCGCCCCTCTCTCATCAACCCCGCCCATTGGGCCCGCCCCATCCCGCTCGACTACTCACTGGATTCGCTTCCCACATAACGGTGACAAAATCAAGCGGAGAGAGCCTGTGGGAAGGGGCTAGCCGCGGGGCCTGGGTGTTGGATTTTTTTCTTCCGCGGGTCCCAGGGAGCGAAGGGACGGAGAGACAACCTTTACGAAAGCCTTCCTTGTCCCCCTCCCTGTCACAAGCCAGCGTCTTCGGACCACCCAACCTCCCAACTTCCGCCCGACGCTGGCCAATCAGAGCTGTCCCCGCCCCACTCCCACAAGCTGGCCCCGCCCCTACGCGTTTATCCGTAGGCTTATCGTCCTGGGCGGGGCTTGCGAGTATCTGGCTTATAAAGGAGTTTAAAGGGCTTCTGGTCCAACAATACCACCCCAGTGATCCTCAAGCTATTGCTAGCTGTATTTCTTTCCTATTAACCAATTTTTATTGCTGCCCGTGTAGCGGCCAAGAGTCACACAGGCCTGCCAATGGCATTTGGGAGAAACTTCAGAATCTTTAAATATCTTTATCCTTGATATGGAGATGGTAGTAATAACAGTATCTCCCTAAGGGTGTAGTGAGATTATTGAAAGCATTTAACACAGTATTTGGCACACAGAGTTCCATAAGTGACAGTTACTTGCTCACAAGGGAACCTTCATATATGGTCCCTCCCCTCACAAATTGTATAATCTAGAAAAGAAAGCAAAAAAAATAAGCAATGCAGGAAAGTTAAAAAATGCAATATGATTTATAAGTAATATGGTGAGTAGAGCTCTACGCGAGCATGTTTACCTAGGGTAGAGTGTCAGGAAAACTCCCTCAAGAAGTTTAAGCTAAAACCATGAGGATATATTTCTACAGATGAAAAGAGATCTAACAGAGTGAAATAATATTCCATGCCACAAAGGATCTACCCCACAGGAAATGAAAATAAAACAGCTTGTTATAGATCCTTCTGGGCTTTTCTATGCCTCTACACCTTAAAAAAAAAAGAAATGTGATCAAAGAATACCTATAGATTTAGAACCTGATTTTCTTTTTCACTTTAAAGATGATGTGGATATCCTTCCATTCCATTAAGTATCAATCTATTTCATCATTTTATTTATTTATTTTTAGACAAAGTCTGGCTCTGTCACCCAGGCTGGTGTGCAGTGGTATGACCTCGGCTCACTGCAACGTCCACCTCCTGGGTTCAAGCGATTCCCCTGCCTCAGCCTCTTGAGTAGCTGGGATTACAGGCACCCGCAACCACGTCCACCTAATTTCTGTAATTTTAGTGGAGACAGGTTTTCGCCATGTTGGCCAGGCTGGTCTCAAACTCCTGACTCCAGGTGATCCGCCGCCTCGGCCTCCCAAACTGCTGGGATTACAGGCGTGAGCCATCTAGTGCCTGGCCATATTTTAAGTAGATTCATGGCATTCCATAATTTCTGTGTATGCTACGTACACACAAACACACACATTTGAAATAATCTACTGGATAGACATGTAAGTGGTTTTCTATTTTTCACTATTCCAAAAAAAAAAAAAATGCTTCAACAGGCATTTCTTCACATTTGTCCATTTAATTCCTTGGAATTAATTCTTGAAAATAAAATTGTTTAATAGGAGATTATTTTTGCCAAATGGTTAACCAGTTGCCCCAAAGTCATTTATTGAATAATTCATTCTTTCCTCGTTACTTTGAAGTGCCACTGTTAATTGCAGCCTAAATTTGCGTATACATAAACATATGTATATATACACAATATATCTGTTTCTGAACATTCTCATCTATTAATTATCTGCTTATTCCTATGCTATGCCACAGTTATAATCATTACATCTTTATATATTTGCCTTTTCATAAAGGAACCTCTCTCCTAATTTTCTTCTTTTTCACAATTTTCAATATCATGAGGCTTCCCATTCAGAAATACTTCTCTTCTATACCTTTAGATACATTTTTTAAAAATTTCAGATCTGCATCAGAATCTGTAAAAAAAAAATTTTCACATAGATTTGCATAATCCTTGGGAAGTTCGTTCCTAGATATTTTATAGTTTTTTTGTGAATGAGATATTTCTCATTGCTATAATTTAGGAAAGCTATTGATTTTTGTTTATTTACCTTGTTTTCTACAACACTGTGAAAAAATGTCTTATTAGTTCTAATAGCTTGACAACTCGTCTCTCTGAATTTGTACATAGACAATCATTATCACCTACAAATAATGCATTTCTTTCTTCCTATTGCATTGGTCAAAACCTCAGAAAAACGTTTCAGACTACAGGACAAGATAAAGAATATCCAGCTTTAATGCAGTAAGGCAAGCATGTGCCAATTTGGTGCTAGTTGGTATTCCTTTTTTTTTTTTTTTGAGACTGAGTCTCGCTTTGTAGCCCAGGCTGAAGTGCAGTGGTGCAATCTCAGCTCACTGCCACCTCTGCCTCCTGGGTTCAAGTGATTCTCCTGCCTCAGCCTCCCGGGTAGCTGGGACTACAGGAATGCACCACCATTCCCAGCTAATTTTGTATTTTTAGTAGAGACCGATTTTGCCATGTTGGCCAGGTTGGTCTGTCTCCAACTCCTAGCCTCAGGTGATTTGCCCGCCTGGCCTCCCAAAGTGCTGGGATTACAGGTGTGAGTCACCATGCCCACTATTTGGTATTCTTAAAATACACTATCATCTTTAAAGAAATTTTCTTCTATCCTATTTTACTACATGCTATTAATCAGGAAAGAGTGCAAAATTTTACTAACTGTTCTTAGCCTCTATCACTATATTTGTTTTTCACTCTGACTCTTTTATATAATGAGTTATGCTAATAGATTTCCTAGTGTTCAACCCATTCTTACATTTCTGAAATAAACTCTGCTTTATCATGTTCTCTTATTTTTTTATCAAATGAAACCCATGCTGGTTTTGATTTGTTAATCTTTTATTTAGGATTAAAATGTATTTATAATCAATAAAATTGGTCCATTGTTACTGATTTCTGTGCTTGTCTTAACAAGTTTTGGTATCAGAGTAATGCTAGCTTTGAAGAGTGAACAGTAGCAGTTTAAGTGTTTTAGGAATCAGCTCTTCCTTGAAGTTGGGAGTGAATTTTTACAAAGCAGGCTTAACTAGAAAAGTTAAGGGCCAGGTTCTCAATCTTTTATGAAGTTGGAGCTATACTTTGTTTTCTTGAAGATGCGGGGTTGCCTGAGTCAGGAAAGTGGGATGGAAAGAACACAACTGGTTTGAGTACCTATTGGGTGAACAGTTGCTTAAAATATACTGGTCTACCCCAAAGTAACCTGAAGGGAAGTGAAAACAGTTATATAAATTTTAGTGATTCTTTTTCCTTAATTTTACTGCTTTAGGATCACTGAGTTAAACAGCATGTATTAGAATGGTCCTTTATGATTATCTAGCACACAGAAAGTATTTAAAATTTTTTTAATAAATGGCCACTATTTTAAAACTGGGAAATTTCATAATACGGACCTCCAGTTCTGCTTTCACACTGTATTCCCATATGTTAACAATGGACTGAAGACATGTTGACTCCTGTGGACTAGGAATAGGCTGTCAGTCTCATTTAAATTACCTCCCTAGGCCCTTTTAGGTATTTGAGCTTATGTCTAATGAGACACCTCTTATTTTGCTGAGGCAACATAAGATCTAGGATTTTCTAAGATATCCTCACAGAAAACAACTTTACCAATCTCTCCCATAACTTTCTCCAGAGTGGGCTCCATCATTGTAGCCCAAACTCTCATGGTCTTTAGCAGATTGCAGCATCTTCCCCTTAGCTGCAGGGGAGATATTCCCAGACCTCTAGTAGCTGCATGAAACCACAGAAAGTACCAAACTCAGAATACACTGTTTTTTGCAATCTGATAACGAAGACAGCTACCAAGTAACTAATGGGCAGGTAACATACACACATAGCTCAAAGATATTTCCAGTCCACTTCCAGACTATCACAATAAACCAATATTACAAACCAAGTCATACAAATGTTTTGCTTTTCAAATGCATATAAATCTTATGTTTATACTATACTGTCGTCCAGTAAGTGTACAATAGCATTATGTCTATAAAAAATGCACATATCTTAACTTAAAAATACTTTATTGCTAAAAAAAAACACTAACAATCAACCAGGCGTGGTGCCTCATGCCTGTAATCCCAGCACTTTGGCAGGCCAAGGTGGGCAGATCACTGAAGTCATGAGTTCAAGCACGGCCAACATGGTGAAACCCCATCTCTACTAAAAGTACAAAAATTAGCCAGGCATGTCTGTAATCTCAGCTACTTGGGAGGCTGAGGCAAAAGAATCGCTTGAACCTGGGAGGCAGAGGTTGCAGTGAGCCAAGATCATGCCACTACACTCCAGTCTGGGCGACAGAGCAAGACTCCATCTCAAAACAAAACAAAACAAAATAACAATCATCTGAGTCTTCAGCAAGTGACAATCCTTCTTGCCTTAATGTTGATGGCTGCTGATTGATCAGGATGGTGGTTGCTGAAGCCTGGGTGACTTTAGTAGCTTCCTAAAATAATAATAGCAAAGTTTGCCATCATCAACTGACTCATCTTTCATGAAAGACTTCTCTGTAGCATGCGATGTGATTTGACAGCATTTTACTCACAGTAGAATATCTTTCAAAATTGGACTCAATCCTCTCCTCTCAAACCCTGTTGCTGCTTTATCAGCTAAGTTTGGGGAATAGTCTCAGTCCTTTGCTGACATTTCAACAATGTTCACAGCATCCTCACCATAAGTAGATTCTATCTCAAGAAACTTTCTTTACTCATCCATAAGAAGCAACTCTTTATTGGTTCAAGTTTCATCATGAGATTACTGCAATTCAGTCACATCTTCAGGGTCCACTTGTCATTCTAGTTCTCTTGCTATTTCTATTACATCTGTAGTGATCTCCCTCTATTGAAGTCTTCAATCCCTCAAAGTCATCCATAAG